TAATTATAATTATATTTGAATATTTTTTGATGATTTTAAATTTTTCCATATATTGTGTATAAAAGTTAAATAAATATTTAATATATCAACGAAAAATCAATTCACTATCATAAATATTACAGAACAATAATCTCTCGTATACCTTGAATATTGAATGAGCTACTATATATTGGCTTAAATAAAAAAAAAAAAAAATAGAAAAGAATGATTACTTTATAATCCATGATGACCAAAAAGTCAATGACGTTCTGACTATCTGTGTAACAACTGGGTACCGTTGCTTTTCGCCAGCGAGGATTTTATACCAATTGGCATCGGTTGACCCCGCCCTCAACTTTTCTTCGGAGACACCAGTACCACCCCACTGCGACTAGCTTGCATTCTCGTAAGAATAAGCTATAACTTCACTTGCTGAATATAATAGACTATATTATTTTTATTAGAAAATTCTTCTTCCGTATAAATTTCAATCTATCAATTCGATTATTTTTTTTTTAGATTTTTTAAGATTTTCTGTTTCGAAAAAATGCGGAATTTTATGGTATATTTTCTTATGTTTGTAATGAAGAATCATAATAATTTTGAATTATATATACAATTCAGTAATAATAATGAATTTTATTTTATTGTACAAATATTGGCATGGTGATTGACATGATGTACTATTGATGATCCTCAAATTGCGAATTGAGAACTGTGATTTTTTTTTAAATTTTTAAGCCTGTTTCAGTTATTAACTTAAATTTATCATAATGCATGTAATACGTTTCAATATGTATAAAAGTTTTTTCTATAACTCATATTTACTTTCTTTTTATAAAATTTGATTTAGGAAAATAATAAGAAAATAAATAAGTTGAAAATATTTATTTATAATATTTTTATTATCTGAAAATAATTGAAAATTGAGGATTTGAATATTTTTCGAATTTTTGAGTATTTTTGAGTATATTTTTTCTATTATTTTAAGGTTTAGATATCATTGTTATATACATATTATATATTGTATATACTTTATATTATTTATACACACATTTTTAATTTATATTTATACGTGTGATTTCATGTATAAATCCTATATATATATATGTATATATATTATGTTATATTTATGTTTTGCATTTTTTAAAGAATTAATTTCATGTACAGTTATTTACAAAATTCAATCTTCATATGTTTAACTAACAAGTAATATTATCAAAATCAATAATTTTATTTTTCATGAAACTGTATGATTGAATAGAAGATAATGGATTATAAATGGAGAAAATTTTTTTATTAGCATAACTTTTCTTTGAGAACTCAACATTTAAAATTTCAATATTTTTTCGTTTTTGAAACATAATTTTGTTATGAGATAAAAAAAAATTTAACATTATAAAATGTTTTTCAGGTATTAATATTCTATTATTTTATGGTAAATAATATTTCCAAGCAAAATTATATTCAAAAGATAAGAAAATTTGAAATTTTTAATTTCACATATTCAAAATATTTTATGGAAAAGAAATTACATATTAGATTCATAAAATAATATTGTTTTAAAAACTTAAATTTTTCTTGTTTTTACAATTGGATTAGATTTAAAACTAATTTTTGTAATTTTTGTAATTTGCATTTTCAAAGACTTTGCCATTTAAACAATTTTGCAATAGATAACAAGTAATTTGTTGTTGTAATTAAAAGAATATTAAGCGATATATGTATATATTAGCATTATTACTATAATCGTATTTATATAATATTTAAATCTGACTTACTATGATTTATATTTAAATGTGATTAAAATTATTATAATAATACATATATTTAAACTATTGTAATGATTTAAATTATTCAATTTTTTTTTACTATTTTTTTTTGTTATGTCATAATAGTTAAGCATTGTTATAGATAAGAATTGTAAATAAGAACTGTCTTTACTAATAACAATTGTTTGTTAAATATATTATCTAATCAATTTTCCTTTGTAAACTATAAACTAATTAGGTTTAAAAGCTTATAATTTTGCTTTTAATTTTGTTTAAAAGCTTATAATAAATAATTCATTACAATTATATATATATATGAAATATCAATAGATATTTGATATTATAATAGAATTAATTAAGAAAATTTTTTATTAGAAGAAGGATATATATATATACCTAATAGCTATGATGTAAAAAATAGTAAAATATTTATCTAACAATGCAAAATTATTAAAGTTTAAAAATTGCATGAAAAAAAAAATAATAAACAGTGATAAAGAAGTAGGATATATTCAAACTCTTATAACATCTTAGTCATTTAATTTTATTAAAAAAAAATATTATTTTTATATCTTGTGAAAAATTAACACATATTATTTTGACAAAAATGAATTTTATACCCATCTTTGTCTGTAATAAATAAATAATTAAATAAATAATTTCATTTTTGTTACTTTTCAAAGTAGAGTGGATTGGTTATAATTGCTATTTTCATTATCATAGTGAAACAATGAATATTTTTTTTCCCGTTTTCCTATATATATAAATTTTATGAAATATAACATATGTTCTTATCTTAGTCATTCATCATCATATTCGATAATTATCTATTGCTATTTTTATCGTACGAAACCAAAATAAAAAAATAATTTACATAAAAATTAAATTTTTCATAATCCAAAAAAATAATTATCATTATTGACCGATTACAAGTTCGAAGAATTTCCGAAATAAAAATTTAATTCTTGTTAAAATTTTAATTCTTATCGAAATAAATACTTTTCAGAAAAAGAAAAATAAGCATTTTAGATTTCGAAAATTTCTAAGTAAATTTTCACAAATAAGTATTTGTTCGTATACGAGTTTTGCAAATCTAAAACTCGAGCTCAACGAGTATTGTGACGAAAATCAACGAAAAATACAATCTACGATAAAATATCGAATTATGTCGTCCTAATTACAATAAGATGACTGGATCGCCGAACAAGTAATACAATACTTTTGATACTCTTCGTATACGCAAGATCGCAGGTCAGTTGATACTAATGTGAGCCAATAATTGGTATTGTTGCGACATTGAGCTACGAAATCTGCGGGCACAGTGGAGATGGATCGCATTGACGGTGTACTGTTCGCGCGTTTCCTTCATATGGGTCACGTAACCCTAGCAGTGCTTCAAGGAATCGCGTGACATCGAGCTCTCAATTTGCGTAACTCTATCGTATTTACTACAATTCGATCTGCTGTGCACAGATGAACAATCCATTGCCAGAAGTTGGCATTAAAAAAAATAATTAGTTGAAATTTTGAATAACGTTTTAAGTAATAACTTTATTTAAAATACTTGCGAATAACAACTGTAACTATTACAGTTGATTCTCTTCATATAATTTAAGTCGTTTTTACTATATAATTATTCAATGCTTTGAATAATAAATTATTGAAGTAACTTTTATTTTTAACTTCGAAATTATGAAAGAAAATTGTTTATATCGATCTTTCAAATATTTTTGTTAAAATTTTTTACAATAATGTCATTGTATGTTTCATCTCTGTAATACTAGTTCGTATCACCCTATATATTGTATACGCATGCGCAGTTCAACGATTGCAAGCAACATTCTTCCGATTCCAGACAGCTGTTCAAGAGGAGCAAACAATTTTTTGGTTAAGAGTGGGGATTTTCTTTTGTGGATATAAAGGAGCGATAACCACTTCGAATAAACGTGTAAGATGCGACAGTTTAGTGGCTCAACGTTCAAATATTGAGTACCAACGAATAATACAATAATATCTATTATATTTTTTGTTCTATATATAATAATATGATATTACATTGACAAATAGAACTAATATTTAATAGTTTGACGAGTTTTATTTTTTTGAGTCTTATTTTTCCAATAAACTTTCTAAAATGATTTGTATTAAATCAAATTATTTTAACAATTTCTTTAAAATTCTTTCTAACAATAATATTTCTTTCTAAGAATTCAGGAAAGCAAATCTTAAATGTTTCTTAAACGAAATAATATTTGAAAAATAAATCTGAATAGTGTGACAGAGATAGAGTTGTTTTATTTTATGTTTGTCTCGCTTCGTTTATTATTTTATTTTATTTAACTTTATTTAACTTTGATTGTTTATGACTGTAATAATAAAATCTTAATATTTTTGTTTATCAACTTTTGTTTGTGTTTGGATCGTTATGTGTGTGAAGTAAAGAAATGCGGATATATTATATCTCAGTTTATTTCTCGTTTTATTAAAATTTTAATTGATCGTTTAATTTAATAAAAAAATTTTCACTTTTTCGATAAATCAACTTTTTATGTTTTTATGTTAATTCGAAAAGATCAAATTAATGATTTAAAAAAAGAGAAAGCACTAATTTGCATAGGAAATATTTATATTATAAGTTTAAAATAATGAGAAAAAACTTTAGATTTCGAAAATTATTTCATTATTTTCATTATTTATGATAATATATAGTAAAACATCGATTATTTAATTAGAAAATAAAATCTTGTAAATAATAACTAGTTTTCCGGATAAATTCGATTAGAAAGAGTCGATTCGAAAGATAATTAGAAATTTTCAAATATGGACATTTTTTTATTAGAAAAAAAAAAATATTAGTACAAGAATACATATGATATATTCATATAAAAATGTAATAAATTATAAAAAATAAATTAATCATTTCTCATTATTTATTATGCTCTAAATGTGTTTTCCAAATATCTTTAAATATGTTAATTTAAATACTATACTTATTTTATATTGGTCATTAAATAATTGAAATCGGATAATCGGATGTTTGGATAAAAGATGTTCCACTTTTGTATCATATATTCAAAATTTATGATAATAGATTTTAAATTATTTACAATGTTACTTCCGTTTAGTCTTTTTTATTCATGAATTCTCCTATCCAATCTTTCAAAATGGACAAACAATCAACATTTAATGATTTTAAAAAATAAAAGAATAAATATACATAAGAAGAAATATTTTTGCCTTATTCCTTTATATCCTTATATTCAATTTCATTTAGGAAGCATATAATTGCGCTTGAAAAGTTTCGATATCGTCCCCGGAGGTAAAATTACCAATAACATGAGCATCGGTTGGATCATTCGTAAAAATTTTAATATCCATAATTCGTTAAAAGCAGCAGCAAGACCGCTGGTGATCCAGGGTGAATCCATCAAGAGATATAATTTGAGATAAACAATATATTGTTTCTTCGCCTTATTGATCTTTGTTATATCACTGTTTTCGGTCGCAAAAGACGTTGATTTTCGTATCAAAATCATCTTATAAGATGTGTAGAAAAAAAGTATGGTATTCACGAAACAAGTTAGAGCTGGAAATATCGTTACGTAAAGAATAGCGGTCAAATTAACACCATCGTTAAATCGTTGGAAATTCGGCCTGATGGGTGAAGATATTGGAAGCAACGTTGTCAAATCGGCGACGCAAGCCAAAAGTGTCGGTAACAACGAACTAGTCCAAGTACAAATGGCATAGATTAAAAATTTCTTTCTTTCTCGTTGTTGATTCGTATCGGTCGGTAATGTAGAACGGAATCGCGTGATTACCAACGTCATGTCAATGCAAATGACGAAAAGCCAAGATGTCGAGAATATGGTGAGGAACATGAGTATCAAACCCAAAATCACGTAAACGTTGGAATGAATAGAGATATGACATAAGACACACGTACCTATCGCAATTATAATTATATTTAAGACAATTTGTGTAACATTATAAGATATCACAGCTTTGTGGTAAGCTCGCGTACCTACATCTGGAATAATATAATAGATAAGTACGACTATGAAATAGGGAATAATGTAAATAATGTTTGCAAAAATCACCATATTAACACCCCAAAAATTCAAAGAGGAAAATATATTGTCACAATGTATTGTCATCGTATTGTTTTTAAACGGTTCGATAGGGAATTTTTAACATAGTCATTCTCATTACAATTCCAAGTTTGAGTAATCTGTTCATTAGAAATGCAATAGAAATATCTTTTATGTATTTTTGCGTTGGTATTTTCACGTTCTTGCTTGATTTCTATTTGTTTCAATGTGCTCGTTGCTTCGAATGTAAAATCTGAAACACGTGATATTCTTTTAGTTTCCTCTTCTTTCATCGATGTTAGAATTGAGAATATTGAGATATTTGTAATTTAAAACTAACAATTAAAGTAATTTATTTCTAATTATTAAAATAAATTGTTATCATTTGAATGATTATTATATATACATATTTATTTTGGTTATAAAATCATTATATATACAAAAGGAAAATTTAATGTAAAATTTATAAAAAAGTTTTAATGGATTTTTCAAATTTCAAATTTTTCAAAAGATCAAGAAATTTTTTCATATGACGATTTTAGAATAATTATTCAAATTATTTTAAACATACACATACATTTTCATTATGAGAAATAATTAAATTTAAATATTCGTGATCATTATTCATTACATATTTTTAACATATTAATTGAATATTTAAATATTCAGTATATTTATTTTTACAGTATATTTATTTTATAAAAATTCTTAGTTATTATTAATAATATATGCGATTTTATATTGGAAAATAATTATATTTTTGAAAAGAACAATAAGTCGTGTTTTTATTTAATTCAATAACGGTATTTTTTTTATATCATTAATCGTGTCATCAGATTGTAAATTTTAATAATAAACTATTCTCTTGTAATTCTAGTAACAATTTACAAAATATTTTTAATCATTCATGCTGACAGATTGATTACACAACTTATATTATTGTGTACTTCCATCATATCCATAAGTCATCAAGTACTTAACAATTTTTTTTCAGAAAACGGACAGAGCATTTTATAATTGTAATATAATATTAAATAGCCATTTATATTATAAGAAAATATATAATATTTTAATAATTTGCATTAATCCGTTAAGCTAATAAATAATAACTGTAACATATAATAATAACATGCAATATTATTTACTGAAAAATATAAATAGAAAATAGGAAAAGAATAAAAAATCGAATAAAAGAAAACATAATAGATTTACATATATATTATATTATTATATTAAAAATAGAATAAACAATATTAGAGTAACAGCTAATCTATTACATAATTAAAAAAAAAATTTATTATGCTTATGAAAAATATTTTTTATTATGCTACTATAAATATTTTTATTTTTTCAAATATTATAAAATTATATAATTATAAGTAAATGGAAGAAAGAATCATTGTAATAAAGGTATTAAACAAATAGTTAGAAGTTATTGTAATATTAAAATGTTAAATTTATAAATTAATATCAATTATTAAGAGATTAATAAATAATACGTTTAAAATTAGCGAATATTAAAAATAATATGTTATAAAGTATTTGTTTTATTTAAATATAATTAAATTTATGATGAAAAAAAATTTACGATGAAAAAAAAATATTTAGATAAAAATTGTTTATAAAATATTTTTTGTTGTAAAAGATTTTAAATTAGTTTTTAATGAAAATTATTAATTCATTAGATTCTTCTTAATAGATAATTAAAGAAATTAAATTGTTCAAAGAAACCAACTTGATTTTGAAGTTTGCTATTCTTTTATACTGACAAAAGAAATATTTATATCATTTTATGTTTCCTTTCAAACTTTTGTCTGTATTTTATATCAAATTTTTTCTATATTATATATTTTTTATATTATTTTTACATATGTGTATATTCTTTCTAAAATATTCAACAGACAAACATCCTATATAAACAGATATATATGTAATATTTATAAATAAAATATTTCAAATATTCACATTTATTTATAAAATAATTCGTTTTATTTTAATAAAAGATCATCAACTATTATTTTATATACATATATATATATATATATATATATATATATATATATATTATTATTAGTTAC